GACAAACCTTATAGCCTTTTATGACCAGGTAACACACTGCCTTGACACAGGAGCTGAGGCTGATGTCATCTACCTGGACTTTAAGAAGGCCTTCGACACAGTTTTGCATCCTGTTCTCGTAGGGAAGCTAGCAGGCTGTGGAGTGGACACTTGCACAGTCAGGTGGGTGGCCAACTGGCTTAGGGACCGCACCCAGACTGGTGGTGGACGGGTCGTTCTCGGCCTGGAAGGAGGTGGGCAGTGGGGTCCTGCACGGTTCAGTCCTTGGACTGGTGTTATTTAATATCTTCATCGGCGATTTGGATGAGGGTGCGGAGAGCATCCTCTCCAAGTTCGCAGGTGACACCAAGTTATGGGGCAGAGTTAACGCACCAGAGGGCAGGGAGCAGATACAGGCCGATCTGGACAGGTTGGATCAATGGGCAGAACGAAATAGGATGCAGTTCAACAAAGATAAATGCAAGGTGCTCCCCCTAGGAAGGAGGAATCCCCAGCACACCTATAGGTTGGGGGATGACCTCAGCAGCTCAGTGGCTGAGAAGGATCTTGGAGTCATAGTTGACTCCAAGATAAACATGAGCTGGCAGTGTAACAAAGCCATCAACAAGGCCAATCGCACCTTGTGCGTTAGCAGATGCATGACCAACAGATCGAGGGAGGTAATGTTCCCTCTCTATGTGACATTGGTCAGCTTGCAGTTGGTCTACTGTTTCCAGTTTTGGGCACTGCACTTCAAGAGGGAAATGGAGAATCTGGAAAGGGTCCAGAGGAGGGCCACTTGCATGATTAGCGGCCTTCGTGAAAGACCCTACGAGGGGAGGTTGAGAGATCTGGATCTCTTCAGCCTTCACAAAAGATGTCTGAGGGGAGACCTTGTAGCTGCCTATAAGTTTATCAAGGGAGGGCAACAGGGAATTGGAGATGTGCTATTTATCAGAGCACCCCTAGGAGTAACTAGGAATAATGGGTGCAAACTAGTGGAGAGTAGATTCAGGTTAGACATTAGGAAGACTTTTTTTTACAATAAGGGTGGCCAGAATCTGGAATGGGCTTCCAGGAGAGGTGGTACTATCACCTAACTTGAAGGTCTTTAAGAGGAGGCTTGGTAGTTACCTGACTGGGGTCATCTGCTCAGTCCTCTTTCCTGCCAGGGGCAGGGGGTCAGGCACAATGATCCTTCATGGTCCCTTCCAACTCAACAATCTGTGAATCTTATCTGGGCAGTTTTCCATTCTGTTTTCTGTATGGTCTTAAAACCAGAAAATGGGAAGAGATGTTGGACCACTGCTATTTTTTTTTGTATGCTGCTTATGTGCTTTGATTTTTTTTTTCTTTTTTTTATTTTCTTGTCCTGTTTGTATTCTCTGTTTATAGGTGGGTCTAGCAGGGAGAGAAGAAAACTGTTAAAGGGGAATGATTACAAGCCTTCCAGAGTTGGAACTGTCAAGTCCTTTCAACTGCTGCTTTCCCCACTGTTTTCTGACTGTGTATAGATGTACATAACTTTGGGGTGGTTGAATGTGATCCCAGAATTTATGCATTGGAAAGAACTGGACTTGATGGCCCAGCTGCTCATTCTGGCCTTGTGTTCCTGTTTGCCTCCTGGTTCTGTAGAAGGGTTACTTTTCCCATTCTGCACATGGGGAACCAAGTACAAAGATAGTGGTGATTTGTTCCACATTTTACAGTAGTGGTAAAAATTGAATCTAAGTCTCTCCCAGTCTTTTGTAGGTTCCTAACTGCATGACAATGCACTCCTTATATAGTGGGGAATTCAGGTTTGTAATGGAGTGTGAATCACAACTTTCAGGGCTGTATAATGAAGGCTGTTTACAAAGCACTGTGTTCTTTCTTCTGTTTTTTAGGAATGCTTCTTACCTTAAAGGATATAAAAGTTCCGCAGTGTGTTCTGTCAGGACCACCAGAGCTGGTAAGTAGTCGTATTATTTTTAAACAAGGAGTTGTTAAAGTGTCTGAGACCTGTGAGTGAAAGGCTAGTACAGGGGTGGGCAAAATGTGGCCTGTGGGCCAGATGTGGCCCACCAGGTCATTCTATCCGGCCCGCAGGACCCCTAAAAAACTTAAAAAATGAATATTAATCTGCCCCTGCCTGCCTGTCACGTGGCCCTCGATGGCTTGCCAAAACTCTGAGTGGCCCTCTGCCCGAACTAATTGCCCGCCCCTAGGCTAGTACCTAGTTCTTCAGGTATTAAGTGACCTTACCTTGTAAAAAGTTACTGTGTCTGCAAGGCACTGGCTCTGACTGAAGAAACAGGACTCAGTTGTTCAGTTCTGCTTTCTGGAGTGACTTTGTAAGGTGAACAGCTTGTTTTGTGGGTTTTTGTTTTTTGCCCCAGTAAAATTCAGAGCCCTAGATAGTAGCAGATTTGGAACCTTCATGTTTCCTAGTGCCTCACTGAGATATTAAATACCTTTTTCTGCTGCTCCACCCCTACTGAACCCCAAAGAAATTGATGGACAGTTTTTTGTTTTTTTTTACTTCTGCTCTTAAAGCAGAAATTTGGGGTCCCTTCAGAAGTCTGAACACATTCCTGAATCAAACTTCTGAGCCTCCTGTGACTACTTAAATGTGTTTGTAGAAGGTGGAGATGATTGCATGGACTTAATACTGGTTTTGGTTTCTGTGTTCTAGGTTATCAGTTTCTACTTTATATCCTTATTTCCTTCCCTTCTCTCCCTCAGCATCTACTGGAGTTTATTTAGGTTGATGTGATTGCCTGTTTGTTCTTTGGGGCTACATTCATTTCTATTTTTTGATTTTTCTTACTTGAAAGGAAGTGTATGCAGGACATGGAACTCTAGAGAATTCTGGTTAGCTTGTTTGCAGTGTTCTACTAATTTGAAATTGAGCCTGTGCATATCTTTACATGTTGGGGATCATCCTACTTCAACTTCTTAAAGTATCAGCTTATGCCTGCTGAACTAATGTTAAGCGTTGTACATGATTCCCTACATTCACATTCATTAATGTGCCTTTGCTACCACACATTAAGTTTAGTACCTGTAATATGAGGTACTACATAACAGCACATTAGCCCATGCTGATACTCAGTAGCAAATGCGAACATTTTTTTTTTGTGTGTGTGTGTTGCTTAGTGCACCATACACTAATTCTGCTATGCATTAGCCTGGTGTTTGCCATGATGTGCTAATGCTCAGTAGACTAGGCTACTGAGCATTACAGTGTCTTGTGTAGATGTGCTATGTGAGGTAACAGACTTCTATTTAGGAGACAATCTTTCTCTGTTGTTTCTTCTAGCAAAGCTACCTGGAAGCTATCAAAGTGTTTTCTGGTCCCCTGAAAGGAATAGATGTAGGTATGTACAGAGCACATCTGTGTGCACTTAGTCTTCACTGTTTGCAGGTAACTGATATTTTTATAAAATTGGACAGTAGCCTTGAGCTAAATTTCAAGAAGACTTCTCGTGACACAAAGCATTAAGTAATAGGAATTGCAGCCTCTGATGAATGGGAGGAGAGTGTGTTTTTTCCAGCTGCATTTATTTTGGAGCTATTGGTGTCTGGCTTTTCATGTGTCCTTGAGTAACAGAATGAAAGTACAATGTCTTCCAGTGTGTGGGCAGTTGGTTGTCTTGGGACCAAGTTTTCCAGTATCAGGAGTCTGTACCCATTGTCCTGATTAGAACTTGCTTTTAAAATAAAGCTACTTGCCTTGGTGATGAGAATGTACAACGGATTCTTTCACTTTAGTCATGGGTTTAAACCTAGCACAGTGCAGCTGTTGATCCATTTTTAAAAATGATTTGTTTCCAGTATGGTTTTTGGTTCACAACTGTGTTGTTCAAATGTTATAACAGTCATTTATTGTTTGAAATATGAAGGCCAAAGATTGAACAAGTGTAGAAAACTAACTCCCTTGCTGTTAAAAAAAAAAATAAATAAATAAAATAATAATCCCTCCAAGTGAGAAGAGCATGATAGAATATAAGAATTACTGTAATGGATCATGTTATTGGTCTGTCTAGTTCAGTATCATGCCTTTGACACAATTTTTACTAGATGCTTCAGAGGGAGTTACAAAACAGCTTTGTGGGCAGCTATGGGGTAATTTGCATTCAGAGAAGATTTCTTGAAGATGCATTTTGTCAGGGGAGAAACTCGACATTGCCAGCAGTAACTGCCTAACAAATATCTGCATTGACTCTTCAGAAATAAGTATCTCATTTCCAGGCTATTTTACCAACTGGCCAGGGATCTACTGTTTCTGTTGACTTGTTAATATCTGCCTTGGAACAGTTAATAGTCTCTCTAACACCTACTGTTTTAACTGTTCTGTTGGTAGCAGTGCGACCCTGTACAGACCCAGAGTATAAGGATGAGACTATGACAGTTTATCAAGTACCTGTTGTTGGTGAGTATAAACAGTGAATACTAATAGCCCAGGTCGGTTTGATTTAAATCAGATCCAGTTTAAATCACTGGTCAGGAAACCTCAATTTAATCATTGTTTTCTACAAAAAGTGTATTCTTGTTATGTGATATCCTTTATTCATTTAACTTTTTGAAACTTTGTACTTTTAGAGAAAGGTAAGGGCTTGACCATGTGTTCACAAACTTCGAGAGACAATAGGGCTGATGGGTGGGTAATCAGGTAGGTCTGTTGTCTCCCACTGCCATATGCTGCTATTAACAAGGATGACAAAGTTGTCTGGAGACAACTAACTACTCACCCTATGCCTGAAGAAGGGTGTTTGTGCCCAAAAGCTTGCAAAGAACAATTTTCCCAATTTAGTTGGTCTAATAAAATATATCACATCTACCCAAAAAACCTTGTCTGCTTCTGGTATCTGGAGAGACAAATCCACAGTTTGAGAACTGAAACTAAGCATCACAGAGATGCTTAATGGGATCTTCTAGACTGAGCACTGAGTCCCGTTAGGTAGAGTGTTTTTCTTTAGAGGTGCACTGATATACTGGACGCTGCTCTCCAAGCTGTCGGGTTGCATTCTTGGGTGTGTGCATGCTGTGGCTGTGTGTATGTACACAGCATTTATCGGTGACATTATCAGCTACAATTCATCCTGTTGGGATGCACACTGGCCAAAAAAAGCTGATTCCAATAATGTCAATTTTCCTTTTATCTGTGCTGATCCAGTATGTCATCGGCATATCTGTGCACCTCTTGTTATAACCCCTATTCCATGATGATATCTTTAGAGCTTCAATGTATCTTAAAAATGTTTTGTGTTTTGTTTTTGTTTTTTTAAATTTAAGTATCTTAACAAAAAACCCAATAAAATACAACTAAATAAAAACATCCAATTTAAAAAAAAAAATCAATTTTTTAAATTTTGGCGGTGTGTGCATTTTTCTTTTTTAAAAAGTTGATATTTATTGACCATAATAGCAGGATGCCTTGATTATCTCAAGCTACAGATGGGGAGAAGTGGTGCTGCCTGTTCAGGGTTTAACTAGTTATTGTAACAAGCTAGTCTGCTGACCCAAGTCATAATTAAATAAATGTTGTTCCTTAGTTTACTACCTTTCTACTGAGAGTGTTTCTTTGAAAGAAACATAGGCTAGGGCAGCTCTGAGGGGTCTGTCTGGTAAAAACACATTGTATTCACTAATAACTGGTAACATCCTGCAAGTATTGATGTCCAGAAAAGATTTTTATAATTCAAACTTAGACTACCTAATTTATTTGTTTTAGTCATAGCAGGCATCTACGTGACATGCTTTCCTACACATTATACTAATGCACTGCACATGTGTAGGCAGTGACACTTTTACAGTGTCTACATATGCATCTGTGCTGGAGTGCCCCTTGGCTGTTGCAGGGGGACAGAGCAGGGCAGGAGCAGCCCTGGATTGGGATGCTCCTGTCAGGCTCAGTTTGCTCCCAACAGGATTCATGTTAGATGAGTGCTAGGGAGTGCTTTAATAAGCCTTAATTTTCTGCACAGCCATGTTCATTGCATGTGTAGATGTGCCCATAGGCAACTATGTACACAACATATGCTTATGTTTGACAGGATTTTGATGCTTTTGAAGTATCCAAAGAGCCTAATGAATCCAAGCAGATAAGAGTTCTTGAAATGAACAATGTACAAAATATAGAAGCAAGGAAGGGGAGCTCCTTGATCCCTGTCTACTGTATTTACTTGACTAGAAGATGACTCTGATTATAAGATGATGCCCCCAATAATTAGATTTTATGCATGGAAGATTTATACATTTATTATAATTTTCCAGGTGTAGAATTTAGTTATTGGCTTGAATTTATTCCCTTCCCACTGCTACAGAAGGGGAAAGATATCTGGGGATGGGGGGCAGGTAGCCGTGTTGTCTCTGCTACCTCCGCAGCATTTTCCCCTGGCAGCTCCCTCCCCTTCTCTTTACTGTCAGACCCTGTTCTCCTTGAGCACACAGAAGTGAGTAACAAATTTGAAAACAGCTGTGAAATTAGACATGACTGTAGCAATTTGAATAGTACCAGTGCACTTAAGTAACCATGCATCATTTCTGGATAAACTTTTTTTTTGAAACAACCACAAATTTTTATCACAAGTACTCCATAAACACACTTTTGAGCAGCACTCTGGTGCCTGTTTTGGTGTAGAACAAACCATGCATGATACTAGTTTGAGCCAAGGGCTCGTAACTTAACACATAGTCTGTTCAGCAGGGCCCCATCAGAATCAACAATATTTCAAGCCATGGTGACCTTGCATCTCAGCATTGTTCAGTATAAGCATGTACTCCAGATACTGTCCCGTCCCGTCCCGTCCGCCCCCCCC